AGAGTCTTTCAAATAAGGCGAAATACAGAATCATTTCTATTGGATGGTTCAATTGAGACACAGAGCCATTCCAGATCAGCATATTCTCAAGGTCTGGTGTCTGCTACAACAGACTCAATTCCCTCCCTGTCCGGATAGCTGACTTTGGGGACGGAGACCTTGGGACGGAGTGTTTCTCATCAGGTGGGGGTGTGGGGGCGGGGGCCCCGGGCCGGCCTAACTGGTGCTCTCGCCCTCGGGCCAACGCACCTGGTGTTCGCCCTCAGGCCGGCCCACCTGGTGCTCGTTGCTCGGCCCCAGCCCCGAGGCGCGGTGCCAGGCGGGGTGGGCTGGGGGCACGAGCCCTGCCGGGTTGAAGTCTTGGGAGGCCCCGGCAGCTTCGGGGCAGGGGGCTCAGGGGCATTTCGAGCGGGTCTTTCACTGTAGGCAGGATTCACATGTACTTCTCCGTCCTTTTTCTGTTTTGTTCTAGCACGCCTTTAGCATATAGTGTTGCTATGTCAAGCCAATCTAATACGAACACTCAGAAAGAAAGAAAAAGTCCCGAGTTCTCAGCTTCCCTCCAAAGTCACTGAGGAAATAGGTTATCTCCCCTGGGAACTTTTCAAGGCCGCCTAATAGAAATGAATGAGATGGGGCTAGAGAGATGGCTTGGCAGTTAAAAGCATCAACTGCCCTTCCAGAGGATCCTAGTTCGATTCTCACCACCCTCAAGGTGGCTCACAACAGTCTGTACTCCAATTATGTGGCATCTAGATTCTGGCCTCTGAATGCACAGGCACACACATGGTACACAGACAATGATTCAGACAAAACACCAATGCATGTAAAACAAAATTTTAAAACATTTTTATGAATGAATGAGATAAAGGCAAGCAAAAGAACATGGGGGAAGCAAGCATACTAAGTAAGCATCACTTCATGTCCTGTTTTAGAAAGAGGCTTGGATGCATGGGCTTGGTGTGGTTGTAAAAATTGATTCAGGAAGACAGATAACTTGAGGCTTGGCATGTTTTCTTTCCCCAGATTTGGCAGGTTAAGAGGACTGAAAGGCAGCAGGTAAAATGAGCCAGCAGCTCAGATCTACTACATCCAATGAACACAGGTTTCCTGACATTGTTTTGTCACGTCTCCCATTTACTCAGCTGTAGCAGGCTGGAGACATGGTATGGTCTCATCTCAGTCAGACACAACAGCCTCCTTATTGCCCAAGGACCACAAGTGTGCTAGTTAGTTTATGTCAACTCAACACAGACCTAGACACATCTGGGAAGAGGGATCCTCTACTGAGAAATTACCTCCACCACACTGTTGTAACAATAAGTCTTTCCGCCAAAGCCACCTGAGCCCTGCCTCCATGTGGGGGCTCTCTGCCAGGCTGCCCGAGTTCCACCCACCACCATGATAAGGTCCCTAGTAACACAGAGAGACTTATATTAGGTACAATACTGCTGGCCAATCCCTAGGATTTCTTATTTGCTAGCTCAGTCTTAATTATCATCCATAATCATAAGAATCATGGTGACTGCAGAGGAGAGCAGGAGGAAGAGAGAAAGGGAATGACTTCCATCTTGCCCTTGCTTATATATGAATCTGTCTGCTATGTCACTTCCTGCCTGTATCACAAGACTTCCTTTTACTACATTTCCCAGAATCCTCCTTGACTGCTAGTGCTGCCTAACCTGCTTCCTCATTGGCCAACAGTACTTTATTCAACAACCAATAGTATAAACATATACAGAGAAGGACCTCCCCCATCACATTATCCTCTGGGGAAGTCTGGTGGAGGGGGGATGGGAGAGGATTAAAGTACAGGGAGTGGAAATAGAGGAAGAGATGCATGAGAAGGCAAAGCAGAGGAAAGGTGGGGACACTGCATTAAAGGGTCACAGCATTAGGAAGGTTGAGAACCATTGGTCCAAGAGGTTCTCCTCGCATAGTTATCACAACAGTTCGAAAGTAACTAACATGTGACCCCCAAGTAAAAGTTAATAGTGCACATTCGGTATCCACATTGGAGTCTTTTCCTCCCTCCACTTCCTATCCCTTAGTTCATTTTAGACTTTGTGTGATTCCCAAGATTTGGAATGGAAGCCCAGGGCTAGGAGACGCACCTTTAACCACAGTCAGTGGCGAATACTGGCTGAGCATATCATTGGTTCTCAGCAAAGATGAAATGAACAAGTGGAAACTGCAGGACCAGGTCATAAGCTGGGTAGCTGATGAGGCTGTGGCAAGAGCCTGTGTCTATGGAAGCTACAGAAACTTGGCTGCTCATCTAAATTCTTCCTTAAAACAAGCAGCAGCCATCAGGATACACAACACCCAAGTCATGTTTTGCACTATTCAAACTCAGATTTGCTGACAGATGTGAAATAGTAGGTGTATTTTGGCCAACACCGTCGAGGCCCACCATTATAGCTCTGCTGCTGAAAGTTTGTTTTCTTCTCGGTAACATCTGCTGTTCCTTCCCCAAATCTATGCTGTCTCAATCATCAAAAACATTTTTCTGCAAGTGACAAGTGCCTCAAATAATGACTTCCTGTGCCTTCCCAAGTTGACTGTTTTCTTTCTTTCCTCTACACTTCTTGAGTAACCAGTGTGGTTTAGACGGCTCATCCACACAAATTTCCATGAGGAAATGTATCCAGGCCAAAGTGAGTCCCCGTTTTTGCGGTAAGGGAAAGCATGCCCTGATGCTCCCCCAAGCCAAACGCCACATTTTTCTCATGATACAAACAGAGCAAACTTTTCTTTTATAAGTGAGGAGCTGTTTCCTCTCTAGCTATATCTTGAATATAAATCCCTTGAAAATTATTTTTCAAATTCCAAGGTTCATTAATTTAATTGATTCTGTTCCTAGGTTTTAATTAAATCTGTGTTTCTCCCAGTAACCTTTGGAGAAAGACAGAAGCTTCATTATCATAAGGGAAAGAACAGGATCGCAGAGTAAGACACACGTGAAAGTGGAGAACAGAAATAAGTAGGCGTGTTTCATATAAATTTATTTTTGTACCAAAAAATTAACATTCAGAGACAATGCTTTTATTGTACAGTATAACAAAATAACTTTCACTAAATTAAAGTGGATTTTTTGCAGATAAACCACAATGCTTTTCTATCAAAAGAAGAAACAAAATTTACAATTTGTATCTCTTGTAGAAAAAGACACCTATTCCATAATTACATAAATCCTTCTGACAGATCTCAGTAGCCTGTTATGTACCCTTTTTGGCTATGTCAGCTCCTATAGTCAATTTGCTTCTAAATTTGAAAGGCACCTGGTGACCAACATTCTGCTTATTATTCAAGGTATCCATTTTAATTTTTTTTGTTTGAATAGGCTTGACAAGTCTGAATACTCTGTTAAATTAAAAAGAATGAAGAAATAAACTACATGTGGTCGCCTGAAACAGTATCCTTCCCCTTAGCTACAAGTTCCCTCATGGGAATTACAAAGTGCAGCAGTTAAATACATCTGTACATTTAAAACATTAAATATGTCAACAGTGAGACATTTTTAAATATTTTTTAGTCAAATACTATAGCACAAACATAATTTACAATATTTTGCACAGAAAACATTACACCTGAAATATAACTTTAGATATTATATAAAAATACACATATTTTCTCTCCTTACTAGAAAAAAGTACTCATTTGCAGGTTCCAGCATGATGTAACACTTCAAAAGAACTTAACCCTTCAAACTATCATTTGTCTGCGATGAAATGGCACCCTCTTAACTTTGAGGTTCTCAGTGGCACATGGCCAGAAGTTAGACCCAGAGACTATGACCCCTTCCATTTTTGATAGGCATTACTATACATCTTCCAGTCAGATTTAATTCTAGGATTTCATTACAAATTTGTACAACCATTATGTAACCACCAAGAGTCTAACATCTCCTATTGATTTTACATATGCATGACCTGTAACAGGGTCAAGAGAGAAGACCATGAGTTCTGTACAATGTGGGCCATGCCTCTTAGTAGTCTTACACACCTATATACATCTTCCATTTTTGAAAATGCTTCCACACATCAAAGATATACATGCTAACACTCCACAGAATGAGTGTCAGTCTATGTCTTGAACTTTGAAAGCCCCAAAATAGGTCGCATCTTGGTCAGGATCCAGCAGAGAAGGGTTGGACACCTGAACGCTGATTTCTTCACCGGCTCGGAGCTTAAAAAACCCTCCAACGTTTATGGAGTAGAAGTGGAATTCAGAATTCCCCGCCCAATATTTGGTGCTTCCTCCCTTCATCAGGTTATGAGAACTTGGGATTTTGATGCTGGTTTTAACGACATACACCATCAGCTGAAGATACTCTGTGGCTAGGGCTCCCGATGTCTCATGATGCCGAAAGCAAATGTTGGCATACAGATAATAGAAGCCATCTTGGTTAACCCTTAGTTTCCCATTGCTTAAAGTCATGTTGGAGATCTTGGCCCATCCCCGATCATGGTACCAAGAGGACAAGCTGACTTTATGGGAACCTACAGAGAACAGAGCACAGAGGTACAGATTTAGAATCCACTTCTTTGATGAGAAAACTTTCCTGGTTATTTCTGTAAGCTGGTGGGGTGGTCTTACACGCTAACACCACAGTCCTTAGTCTAACACAGCGACTTACCTTGACACTTGTTTTCTGTATGGGGATGGGTGCGTTCAACTGGACTTAGTGCTTTCTGTCCTGCACACTGAAGGCATGAAAGCAAAAGTCCTCCATTCCTGCCCTTAAGGAAGCTATAGGACACAAGCGATATTGCAACGCGTTCCAGAAAAGAGGCGGAGCTTGGAGGAAGTACAAAGAATTGCTTTGAGAATTTGAGGGAGAGACAACAAGTTTTTTTCCCCACACAGAGGGGTCAGAACCGGCTCCATGAAGGTGCTATAATGCCCGGAAACATAAAAGGGAGAAGATTGAGCCCCACAGAGAGGAGCAGTTCATTCCAGGTTGAAGAGGGGTATTAGTCATAGTCAATTAAGATAGGAATGAAATCAACTTGTACATGAAGAGAATTTCCATCTGGGGTATGTAGACGGATGTGAGAATCTGGGTCTCAAAAGCTTGGATAGGCCAATTCCATCTGTGTCACCATCTATTATCCTCACCTTAGCCAGAGACACGGAATTGAGTGTCTATCCCTAGAGAAGCTCAAACACAAAATATCCAGCTCCTCAACTTCATTCAATCACTCACATCCAATACTGTAAAACTACTCATCCCTCCCAGTTCCTAGTTCCCTACAACCCCTTCTGGTCCAAGAAATGAGGTGATGAGGGACCTCCATGCTACTGTTTCTGGAGAAGTCCACATTCTAAAAAACATTTTAAATCAGCCATATGCCCAATATTTTTCACAGTCCAAGTTTTTGATGTATATTACCAGCTGTTTAAAACTTGGGGGCACCTCTATAATAAATCAAATTATGCAATATGTGTACTTATGTGAACACAAATTATTCTACAGGAAAAAGTGATAACTGAGAGGATAAGAGTTTACAGAAGCATGGAAAGGTCCAAAACCACATCTTTCCTCCAAGGATTCTATAAAGAGTTGTACCAAGCTAACAGCACCATCTCTCTGGAGTAAGTAACACAAAACACAACCAGTCTCAGATTGGGGCCAGGGAGCAATCTGTTTCTGCAGCATACACAATTTGTTGGGTGCCATGCTGCCTACAACTTCTTAGTATTGAGGTGGCAAACGACAGAAATCAGTCAGGGAGATCCAGAAAAGATAAGTATTATAAGTTCTTGTTCATATACAGAAAGCAGAACACACACACACACACACACACACACACACACACACACACACACCATGCAAATAGATGCAAATAGAAACATGCTATTTGGGAATAAGTGTAATGGAAAGTGAATAAGGTCAAAATATATGATATACTTGAACAAAAATGTCATAATTTTTTCAAGATTATGGTATACAACAATATACATAAAGAATTTTTTTTAAGATTAAAGGAAATAGAGGCTGGAGAGATGGCTCAGTAGTTAACAGCCCTGACTACTCTTCTAGGGGACCCTGGTTCAATTCTGAGCACCCACATGGCAGCTCAAAACTGTAATTCCAGTTCCAGGGGACCTGACACCCATGGCAAAAGCACCAATGCACATAAAATAAAAATAAATTTAAAAAAGAATAAAAGAAATAACACTTAAGCCACCACCTCCTGAACTAGACTCCAAGTCATGAAAGTTGAGAACTCTCTGGTTTGGTGAAACCAAGGAGATAATAAATAATAATAATAATAATAATAATAATAATAATAATAATAATACCACCTACACTATCTTTCTTCCCACAGTAGCTGGAGCCCTGGGGAGACGTGAACACTGTATCCTTCCCTAGAGAATCAGAGGATGAACAGAGAATGGCCCTGTGGTCTCTTGGATATGAACTGAGGACCTCCAAATCGAGCTACTGCTGAAATCAATGAGGAGATGGAAAAAGTGTGGCAGGGGGATGCGGCCGCAGCCAATCTACAGCGGGACAGCCCATCATTAAATGTTCAAGAAAACAAGGTCCCAGTTTCCAAAGAGGACAAGAGGGTTCTCAAACGTCACAGCAGGGCTGCTACAGCCAGTCACCAGTCTCCAGGCAGAGGACAGAAATCCCCCCCCCATCCCACTGGAGGTCTTAGCTCTGCCTGGAGTCAAGTGTCCCAAATGCAAATATCACCCTAGAGTCCCAAGTGAATCAACATGAGACTGCAAAAGTCTATTCCTGCTCCATCGTCATAAACGCTGACATGATAACTCCTCCAGGCTGGTAGATAGCCACCTACTCCATGGGCAAAGCTTATGAAATTCAAAATAGTCCCATCTCAAGTTACTTCCCATTGCCCAGCTTCTTACCTAATTCCTGTACTGCATTTCATTCTATTGCCGTATACGTATCTCTTAGCAGAGAAAACTTAAATTGCTAAAGTACTGTCTCTTCTGTCTATGAGATGGACAGACTCATGTTGGAGCGAGACATGGCCAGGGAAGGCAAGAATGCAATACAAAACAGCGGTGAGAACAGATGGGAACCCTGATCAAGTACCATCCCCATAGTTCAGTGTGTCACGTGGAAGAGGCATCCTCCATATTCTAATGTGCCCTTTGCTTTTCTCCATTCCTGTTCTCAAGCGTTGATTCATCCTGGTGATCTGACAGGAGGACATCTTACATGGTGCTTCCTACGGGTGTTCACTCTGCTTAAAATGAAGAATGACCCTCTCTGTCCATAATGAAGACTTTTACCAAGCAGTGACCCGGTGGGATGGTTACCCCCGATGGCAGGGAAAATAAGAGGCAAGCGTATAAAGTGTGACCCTCCCATCACTGCCCGCTGTAAGGAGCAGGGTTTGACATCAGTGACAAGCCCAACAGAAGCTGCAGAGATCCTTCAGCAGAGCTGAACTTGGTGAGACAGAAGAGCCAGCAAAGTAGGAAGGTTCAAGTCCAAACTGGTTTGAGAATAGGAAGCACGTTGTTGGTGAGAACCACCTCCCCACCCCCCACCCCCCTAACCCCT